TTTCTCTTTTCTTTCTTTTCTCCCAGTCTACTCCATCTCTCTCTCTCTCTCTCTCTCTCTCATTTTTCCTTCTTATTCTTCTCTCCCTCTCACTTTCTTTCAAGAATCCAATTCAAAGTAGGCGTTGTCTTCTTCCCCAAGTGCACAACACCTTCTCTGCAACACAGATGCACAGATATAAAAATCCATTCTAACACCGCCTCCCACCCCTTCCTCGTCCGCGGGTAACAAAAATCAGCAAAAGAAATTGATAGCAAAACCAAATCAATGGACACTTAGCCAACAACCATGGTCAAATGAAAACAAAACAATCACCCATAAAAATCATCCAGTCTCCGAATACCCAAACACTGTGAAATGCAATCCCTAAATCCCATTGACCCAATCAAGAACAAATAGGTGGCGATGAACATGAAAACATATCTTGATTCTGATTATATGTTTATTTACATGGACCAACCATTGGCATTCACTTGAAAACCCTTGTGGATGTAGGATTGCAGACAGAGTTTTGGGTGGAAGGGGCTAGGGAAGATGTTGATTGCCTCCCCCCCCTTTTTCAGTTTTCTAGTTTTAAAATTTTAACTATTTTAAACTTTTAAAAATTACATTTTAATTAAACAGTGAATCACGTGTCTAACATGTGTCATCTAGATAGAAAAATTGATGAAATTGCATGAAAACTAACGGGAGGGGCTAAATTGACCATTTAAAATAATTTGAGGGCGAAATTGACGGAAAAAATAATTCATGGTGAAGATTTCGACAATCGATATAGTTCAGGGGGTTATTCGGCAGTTTACCCAAAAATTAATTAAAATAAAGTGGCTCAAAGTTGGAAGGAAATCATACAAGAGAGAAAATTTTCAATTAAATGTCAATTATGGTGCTAGGAAAAGGGGGAATGTGTATTGTTGGGATTTCCTAATTGATTGTGGAAGTTTGAAGCAATTATGATTTTGTCAAGATTTGTATTTAATTTAATGTTTAATTTTATATTTTGAAGAATAAGTTATCTTAGGATATTATTTTCCTAATATGATGTTAGTTATGATTTTTATTATTTTCTTATTAGCTAAGTTTAGGAATATTTTAGAATTTTCCTACTATTTTAGGGTTTCTTTGTTTTCCATTTAAGCCAACTCATGGCGTTGTATTTGTCAGTTCATTCATCTTATGTTCAATCAATATATTTGAGGTTTACTCAATTTCTCTGGTGGATTCCAGTTTGTTGGTAGGTTCCGACATTGTTACTTGTAGGGTTATCGTTCAATCTCCCTATCTCTTATATCTCGCTGCGTCACAACCAAGACTATTGGGATAACAGAGGAAGAATTGCACAATATTGAGAACATGATGCCTAAAGAATATCTTAACAGCTCGAGTTCATGACTATCACTCATGCAAAAGAAGACAAAATCCAAAAGGCAAGAATATGAACGGCAATGACTTCCAAAAGCAAGAATGAATTTGCACCATACAAAAAATTAAAAAAGGCACTCCATTTACAAATAGCGAAAGCTTTGGCTCCACCGAAGAAGCCATAATATTTTTCAAAGACTAAAACAAGGACATAATGGTCAGTATAAATAAGTTGGCAAGATCAAAATGATCCAACTGCTAAAACTAGGTCCTCACTTGAAGTCCACATATAAGTCACCCCCTCTCCCTCTTTAAGTTTAGACTATTGCTTGTATTAAAAAATAAAATGAATAAATCTCATTGAAAGCCTTTGTGGAAATAAATGAACATCATGGTGTGCCATGAAATGCGTTGATAGTGTTGAAGCCTTTCAGCTTGAAAACGACATGCTATTTGAAGGGTTTGAACAAAGCCATCCACTCATTCCACCACCTTTAGTCATCTGCAGATGGTCCCGACCTTAACACATGCAGAATTTGCTTTTTTCAGCACCCATTCAAATCACTATTGACGTTCTCAGCTAAAAACATTATTGTTTTCGACTATAATGTAATCCTCCGTTTGGATGAAGAGATTTGAAGGAAAGGATTTGAATTTGATAGCATAGCAAAATTTGGTACAAAATCAATAATCACTAAATTCAAACCCCCATGACACCTTGATAGTGTGTATGAGAAAACCCTCCTTCCTGATAACGCTTGTATCAAAATAACCACATTGGATTGAATGTATTTGAAATAACTACGTGTAGTCTATTTGAAATGACCATATGCAAGGAATCATTTGAAATCCAGTTGTGTTTTTCCTTTCCTTAGTTTCTAGATCTGGCCATACATAGATGGTTGTGGGAGCAATTTTTGTCCCACAAGAATATTCGTCTAAGATTTTGCCTTCCTCTTCACTTCTCCTTCTCCCTTCAAAACAATACGGAGTGAAAAGACCACACCCGGGGGGTGTTGGCCAAAGGCCCTCTGATACCTAAGTTAGGTCGAGTGTTTGTAGGAAAACAATAGCTAACAATAGGATGGAGATTTCTCTAGGGTGAGAACCGGGTGGCCGGAGCCTTGTGTGAGAGAGAGAAAGATTATAGCGGCTAGGGTTTGTGAGAGAGAATTTGTGCAGAGTTTCAGGCAGAAGTTTAGACGTACCTCAACCCTTGGTGTAGCCATGTATTTATAGGAGCCTCGGAGGCTAGGGTTTTAGGAGAATAATTCCACAAATGGACATGAATTATTCTTCCATGATTTGGAAAGATTGATGTAATTAGGGATTTGATTTAAATCAAATCCCTAATTAAGGCAAGAATCAAATAATTCACAATTAAATCAAATAACTCCTAAATAGGTCAAATAACTCACAAATTGATTGGCTTAATTATTTGACCTAGGATCTGAGATATTTGGCTTCCACAAATGCCCCCAGCTTCTGCCTAGCGCGTGGTGGCATGGAGGAGGTGTGAATTAACTGTTGGGCTGTCCAGCTGTAACTGGGCTTCCTTCTATGACTTGGGTTGTTGAGTGGAGGAGGTTTTTGGAATGGGCCTAGGATTCCTTGTAGGTCAAGAAACTCCAGTCACTTTAAATATGAGGCTCTTCCTTGTTTTTTTTTCAAGTTGCAAGAAACACTTCCCATATTTTCACAGAGAGAGTTCTTAGAAGATCGCTTGCTTCTCAAGGAGGAGAGAGTGCATCCCCTAGGTAAATTGACTCGAGCCTTGAAAAATATATTCTTCTTTCTTTGGCTTGATTTTTCGAAGCAAGAAGGTGAGGTGCAGCTTCCAACGTGGTGAGTTTTGGCAACCAAAAGGTGAGGCGCAACCTGGTGGCTAAGACGCACGGAAGACCTGGATGGCAACAATGGCTGGTGACGCAAGCCTGGTTCCAACTATAGGTGAGCCTGCTGCTGGAGACAGGTGGGCTTACAGCGCACACGGACGAGCCTGGCTGGAACAAGTGTGCAAGGGCTGGCCTTGCATTGGACTGAGGCTATAGTCTGGGCTCGAGCTAGAGTGTGCTAAAATAGGCCAAGTGCATCTGGGGTCATTGTTGGGCAACGCGAACAGCTGGAGCGCACCACAGGCTGTAAGGCTGGAGAGAGCGACGCGGGCTTGGGTTGGAGCTCGATGCGCTCTGGGCTTGAGGCACAAGCTAGGCTGCGTGTGATGTGTGCCAAGAGGGCTCGAGCTGGCAGGCACGCTGGGCTCCTTTGCAGATTGGGCTACTCCAAGATGGACCTTTTTCTTTTCTTTTTTTGCTGTCTTTTTTTTGTTTTTTTTTGCTGCTACTTTTTTTTTTTGCCAACTAGGATCCTCGTTGATCTGCAACAAGTCTGGCTGCTCTGCCTCTTCTATGCTTGGTTGGTCAAGGTGCTCGACCGGGATGGAGCGTTTGAACTGGGTATCCAGCGTTGATTCTAGGCTTGCCAGTGCATCTGCTTGCCCGTTCTCTGCTCGGGGCACTTGTTGGATGGTGAAGATAGGAAACGCCTTCAACAGCTTTTGGACTTTGTCAAGGTACAAGATCATCCTTGGGTGCTTTGCCATGTATTCTCCTGAGGCTTGATTTGTGATCAGCTGGGAATCTGAGTAGATGGCCAACTTCTTGATTGATAGCTCCTTTGCCAAGCGCAAGCCAGCAAGCAATGCCTCGTATTCTGCCTCGTTGTTTGAGGCCAGGAAGTCAAGCGTGATAGCTTGCTCCAACAAGGTTCCATCCGGGGTGATGATAACGACACCTGCTCCAGCTCTTTTTGGTTCGACGCTCCATCTACGCGCAACTGCCACATGTCTCTGAGTTGGTCAGGTTTGGTGGAGGTCTTGTCTGCTCTCGAACTTTCCTTCTTTTTGTTGATCAGCTTCTCTTCTTCAGCCGATGGTAGTCTGCTAAAGCCTGAGCTTTTACTGCAATCTTCAGCCGATAAAGGAGGTCGTCCCATAAGAATATTCGTCTAAGATTCCGCCTTCCTCTTCGCTTCTCTTTCTCTCTTCAAAACAATACGGAGTGAAAAGACCACACCCGGGGGGTGTTGGCCAAAGATCCTCCGATGCCTAAGTTAGGTCGAGTGTTTGTAGGAAAACAATAGCTAACAATAGGATGCAGATTTCTCTAGGGTGAGAACCGGGTGGCCGGAGCAGTGTGTGGTGGCCGGAGCCTTGTGTGTGTGTGAGAGAGAGAAAGAGTATGGCGGCTAGGGTTTGTGAGAGAGAATTTCTGCAAAGTTTCAGACAGAAGTTTAGACGTATCTCAACCCTTGGTATAGCCATGTATTTATAGGAGCCTCAGAGGCTAGGGTTTTAGAACAATAATTCCACAGATGGAAAGGAATTATTCTTCCCTGATTTGGAGAGATTGATGTAATTAGGGATTTGATTTAAATCAAATCCCTAATTAAGGCAAGAATCAAATAATTCTCAATTAAATCAAATAACTCTCAATTAGGTCAAATAACTCCCAAATTGATTGGCTTAGTCTAAACAAACAATTTTACCTCATAATCTCATCTCAATTCATTGATTTTGAATCCTTCCATTTAAATGAAGCCTAAATGAATTTCATTCAAGCAGAGAAGTAAAACGTTTTCTGAGGTACTTTTCCTTTACAACATTCCGAGTTTACTTTGTCTTCCCTGAGACTATGTATCCTAGCACATGTATGAACCCAAAAGAAAAACCAGGGTGGTCAATCCTGTAAAGTACTATTCATATATATTCTTGTGCTTGAGTGCAGTGGTTTTAGAGTCACATTCTTTAAGAACGACAGACTTACAATGCCGGTCACATTATCCTGCAAGAAGTTGTAAATGATGTGAGACCTGATGGAGGTTCCGATGGGGATGCCGTGAGGGAAGCCCTAGGCGAGAGGCTTACAAATTCTAGTGCTTGTAGCCTTAACTTCAGAGGGTAGTCTGCAACAGATCCAATCCTGGGGCCTGCTCCTGTTGACCACTTAAAAGACAGTTGGTCTCCTAGTTGACATGAACTTGCTTCCTTCTTGGAGTTGATCCTTTGCAATATTTCTTTCTTAGGGACACTTGTTCGGAGGTTGAAGAGATTTCTGGATATGGTTCTTTGGTAACTACTTATTCTTTTAGTTTCAGAAAATGTACATGATTCAGACTGTTGATTGCTTTCTTCCACCCTGGAAGCATGAAGCTCAGGGTTTTCAGCTTTTGTTTGTCCGTATGTTCTTCCAGGTTGAATTGATTTGCTCAAACCATAGCTCTCATTGTCTACCATGGGAGAAAGTACCTGCTTAAAATGGAAAAAACTCAGACGAAACAAGCCTAGCTAGAAACACAGATAAATGTCTATACATTATACAGGTTTTCGATTATTAATGGAAGCTAAAAGGTCTCAGTTTCAACCCTTCGTCCTTAAATTCTGAAGAGCTATGTCCCTTGGAATGTTTCAACTGCATGTTTTTATTGGTGGCAGAGTACCCTGGGAACAGATATAATAAAATTGAATAGGATGAGTTCTATACCTGAACTCCATCAAGGGCAACTCCACTTTCCTTAAGGAAGGTGAGGAAGCTGCCAAGGTTCTCATTGGTTGGACGGTAATGTCCGCTGTATGCCGATACAGACTGGAAATCAAAAGGACATACAGAATTCAGATGGAAAAGGTGCAGGCTTTTCCTTGATCTAAAATAACACTCAAAAGAAAGGAATTCTACAAATATTTTCTTTGTGGTGTGTGTGTCCTACCAAGTGGGTGCTGGAATCTTTGCAAATATACATATTCCATATCAGTAAACTATGTCTTCAAGAAGCAGAGACTATTTTACTGAGCATGCAGGTTGATGCATTAATGATTAATATACCTTGAGCTTTCCATGTTCTGCTCTAAGTCTTCCGGCAGCCAAGGTGGCCCCTCCGGCAAGGAAGCTGGAATGATGAAATAATCCCTTCTTCTTCTTGAAGGAAGAAGAAGAAGAAGAAGAAGAGCATCAGTGATCTGCAAATTGAGATAGGAGACTGCAACCTCAATGGTTTGATGTCCATATCAGATCTTACCTCGCCAGCATAAAGTTTCTTCGATGTGCTCATCACGAAAATCCATTTGGAATCTTCCATTCCTTGATTTGTATCAAGAAGAGATCCTGTTCCTCTGTGCACCAAGGTCCCTTCACAAATGATATATTCGAAGTGTTCCCTCTCTTGCTTATTTGCATGAAAGGTCACCACAAGATGAATGCGAACAAGTTAGCATACATTATTTCATGCAGAGTTCAGAGATCTCTCTGAAGTCTGGTATATAGTAATAAATTTCTCACTCAAATGTTCTCATAAAGGGAATTGGAGATGCAAATATCTTAAAAAAAACAGGGCAACAATTGAAATTGAAATACAAATGTGATGGTGGCTGGAAATTATTATGTCAGTAATGTGATATTTCATTAGATTCTAACACTAGGAATGCTGCTTAAGTTTTTCCAACAATGGTACTATTACTATTTTCTTAATCCAACAATATTAGGGGTAGGTGGGATTTGAAGTCGAGACCTCAGGTATAGGAGTAAATGCTCGTAACCATTAGAGCTACGAGCCTCTGCAACAATTGGATTGCATTTTGACCGTGTTTTGATCCTATTATATGTATGCAGCACAGAAGTATGGTACCGGTCCAAGATACTTGATGCATTCTTGTTGCAGCCTTGATCTTGGACAATCCTTGAGATCAACTTCCTTGCCATCTCCAACGTCCAACCTACAAAAGGCAGAGGTTCTTCTTTCTAAATCATCTTACCAAGTATATTAGCAAGACTTTCTTTTAACTAAGTTGATTTTGAAATATCCATGCTATTTGGTAACCCTTATGGGAGCCTTTGAGTAAAAGTTCACGTTTTGATGTACTGTGGAATCCTTGTCTTCCACATATCCCTCCTCATTGGACGGATGTTCTTATGTCTTACTAAAAAGTAGATATGTAATTACAAAAGTAGGGAACTTTTATTTGCACCAAGCCAAAAACTCAAAACACCCGAAAAATAAGAAGGTATCACTTCATGTGCAGAGAAAATAGTTACAAGAACTATGATTTTGACACTGAAATAATTACAAGGTGTGCAGAGAAAATAGTCACCAAAAGAAAGAATGAAGACGGTAAATTGTACCAGTAGAAAAAGGGCTGTCCTGCATCACCTCTACACCACTCATCATAGTAATAGTTCAGATTATGGCCATACCGATGTCTTGGATCAATCTGCAACAACCAGCATCATGATGAGGATGAATACAAGGCACAACAAGAAAAGTTAAAGTCTAGATCGATTACGAGCTTACCGCTTCGATCCAATGTTGGAAAGCTAACTTTTGTGCCTTAGCATCCTTTGATAATCCCTTCCCCAGCTACAAAAAAAAAAAAGAATTCAAATTCATGAAATCTTTTTTTTTTATTTCTTAATTTTATAAAAAGTTTATGTGGTATGAAACATAAGCAAACATGCCTTGGATGCAAATAAGCTGATCCTACTCCACCGTGAGGCTGCGGTTTCAGATTTATGATAATCGAAGAACGAAATCGTACTATGATTCAACCTTGCATAATCTATAGCTTGCCACCTCCAATCCAAACATTAATCCCATAGATACAGAATTAGAATGATATCAAAATGTTGAAGACTAGAAGAAAATTACTTAACGGGGTACCAACCATAGCTCCTCAGCAACCACAGCCGAGTCTGCTAGCCTACGCCGGGTTCTATAACTCCTGTACACTTTCTGCAACTTCACTGCAGCCGTTGATTCATGGCCATGACCTGTATGCTGAGGAACCATCACAGTTGATGCACCATCATTGCAATCCAGAGATAGCTCAGCCATTGTAGAGAAAAATGTAGTAATAGTTTATAAGTGCAGTGAAAGAGATTGAAGGGATCAAAACAAAGCCAATATCTAAATTCTGTCTCTCAGCAATATAGTCTATGATTTTTTTTTCATGGTTCTTGTGATTTTTTTTATCTTTTAATGGATAGATGTAGATTTGGTCACAGCATTAATTGCTGGTACTACTGCAGTGACAACAACAAAATACAAGTTGTTCAAAGTGTTGCAAAGAGGTAGACAACAGTGGTCTCCACCCTTCCACCAAGAGTCATGTCAGGGCTCAACTTAGTCCTGGTGCTAGGACTGGACAGGGCTAATCTAACTAAAATGGAAAAACATCCAACACCGATACAGAATGTAATTTTATAAAGCAGTGTAATTTTCTTAATTTTATACCAAGCCAACCATGCATAGCCTTCAATACCAAGCCCATCAACCCACCAATCTTATTTAATTGATGTAAAAGTATCGTGCTTATAAGGCATGTAATACCATTCGTTTCTCCAATGTGAGATGATTTGCTTTCAAACTTCCAACACCTTTTTGATCAACTTAACAATATTTAATGCATATTGTTAAATTTAAGTAGATTTCAACATTTCAGAAGTGAGATGAGAGAATTTGTGGGCTGAGAGAATTTATGAAGGGCGATTCTTGGAGAACATAAGTAGATTTCAACATTTTGGGTGTTGGAAAGTCAATTTTCTGGAATGCATATTATTAAATTTACGATTTTCAGTTTTATAACAAATGGGATTCCAATCAATAATCTATCAATATAGCATTCTTATGCATTCATAAACATTTATTTTGAACTTTCACAGTCAAATTTTTATGCTTGACAATGTATTATGGTTGGAATCATCATTAAATTGAATTAGCAGCGAAACCAAATATTGAAATCACTTTTTCTTTTTCCTTTTTACCTAGACCAAAATTAAATTAAAATGTTACTCTCTCATAGCACATATCTACATCGACTCTACTGGTTAAAAGTGTGCGCCCATTGAGTCTGCCGAGACCCGTTTCTCGCATATCATGTCAATGAGTCGAATGACTTGGGACGTGCTATAATTACTGACTTTAATGCACGTAATGTTTGGACCATTACTCACGTAATGGCTAGCTAATTATCCTTCATCCGCACATTGATCTTGTTGGATCTTTCCTTATATAGGCCATCAGAGGCTTTGGACCTATGCAACAATGACTTGAAAATTTGCACACTTATAAATAATCAAGTGCAAAGGATCCGCTAACGTAGTGGTTTACAGTATTTATTTCCTCAGGTAAGGTCCTGGGTTCGAGTCCTAGCATCCGTGTAGTGTGTGTGAGTTTAGTATGCTATCGCCCCTCTCAATAGGAAAGGTCCTCGAAAAAAAAAAACATTAATTTTGTATGGAGGGTATTTCTATAGTTTTGTATAGTAGATATTTCTATATTTCTGTCACCTTGGCCTATGCAGAAAACGAAGATAGCCAAGCATCAATGATTTCAGATGCCGTCTTCAAAAGTGATTTCAGATGCCTCAGCCTGCTCAGCCAAGGGGCCTTTAATTTTTTAATTTTTGAGAAAAAAAAAATAATGTAGAATTTATAATGAGGCCACTTAAACCACATCCGGATTTTCCTCGAAATGGGGTTTTCAAAGCAAGAATTTAATTACAAAGGGCACTACATGACTGCAAATGGAAGGACTAGAATTCTTCAATTACAAAGGGGAATTGATATGAAACCAAGAAAACAACTTCACAGCATCCAAAATTAAAACCCACATATATACATGAAACTATATTACAATTGTATTAAACAAACTCGTTGCTAGTAGTATTCTACTGGAGTGTCCTTACCTTTCTCGGCTTGCACAAGGTCCCCGTAAGCAACAGGCCGAGGAATGTTGGGTGGTGCATTACATCTCAATAATGCCCAATTGACCCCATCAAAAAATGGATGGTGCTTGATTGCTGTCGCACCCATTGTGGACCCCAATCTTCTTGTGGGGTCCTTGATCAAAAGATGCGTGATCAAATCTTTAGCGTGTCCGGGCACCGTGGGCTCCTTAGGGAACTCAAGGGCCCTGGCCACAATGTTGGCTAGAGTTGAGTCATGGTTCGTTCCTTTAAAGGGTGTGACACCGTAAAACATTTCAAATATAAATATGCCTAGAGTCCACCAATCCACTGCATTTCCATGGCCTTCACCTAATACAATCTCCGGTGCCAAGTACTCGTGGGTCCCGACAAACGACATCGATCGGACGTCGATTGGCTCTGCCACGATCTCAAGGGACACACGGTGACCTGATTTCTTTTTGCGCTTGCCCTTTGGGTGCATGGATGATGCCGTCGGAACCATACAACTAGGCAGGATGCATGGTGATATTCCACATTGTGGTTGCTTGGTGGAATAAGAGGATCGATCGACGTTTGGTGGGTCTTGATCAGAAACAAGCTGAGCCGTTGATGTTGAAGTGCTGCTTCTCAATGAGAGATCAAAGTCGGTCAACATGATGTGACCGTCTGATCTTATGAGCACATTTTCTGGCTTCAGATCACGGTAGATTATTCCCATCATGTGTAGGTACTCTAGAGCAGCAACCACTTCAGATGCATAAAATCTTCAAGCACCAAAAAAGACTAGATTGTAAATTTGGAAAAAATAAAATTATATCAAAAAACTTAATGTTTGTTAATCAAAGTAAGAAAATTAAAAGGAAGATCCTCGACAGATCTTATAACCATATATATCCCCTTTCATATGATTTTCTATCAATTTGGTGATTCCTTATCAATTATATCACGTAATTCAATTTCAATCCTAATTCATGCTTAATTAGGCAATAAAGAAAAGAGTAATCTAATCAAAATTTATCCTAATTGAGAGGCCTATTATAGAAACTTGCATTGAATCATGATGATCGTGATCGAGTGCACGGCACTTAATTACCAAAAGCATTGTGGGGTTGCAACATTCAAAGATTGTCCCAGTGTCCAGACATAGATTAAAAACCTTATGGAACCCACACAAAATAATCAATAGTCTCAAGCAAATATTGGAACCCCACTTATTATGACTCGTTTTATATTGTACCATTTTGCAATTGAGTAATTCAATATCAATCCTAATTCATGCTTAATTAGGCAATAAACAAAAAGAGTAATCTAATCAAAAGTTATCCTAATCGAGGCCTATTATAGAAACTTGCATTGAATCATGATGATCGTGATCGAGTGCACGGCACTTACCAAAAGCATTGTGGGGTTGCAACATTCAAAGATTGTCCCAGTGTCCAGACATAGATTAAAAACCTTATGGAACCCACACAAAATAATCAATAGTCTCAAGCAAATATTGGAACCCCACTTATTATGACTCGTTTTATATTGTACCATTTTGCAAATTTAATCAACTAAAGTTCTTTTTTTATGAAAAAGAAAATTCAAACACGCATATGTATATATGTCACGCATATGATCATATGGTATAATTAAATTGCAAATTTTAAGTTCAAAATGTACCCACCGGACGGCCTCTCGATTGAACCGATTGTCCGGTTGGCATTGGCGGAGGACATGGAGGTCACCACCGGGGCAAAACTCGGTCAACAAGCAAGACCATCTGTCCGACTCCAACCAGCCATAGAGCGTGGGCAAAAAAGGATGGTCCAAAATTTCCAAAATTTCCCTCTCTATCCTTGCCCTATTTCCTTTATTCCTACTTGCCAAATCCTCCTTGTCCATCACCTTGGCAGCAAACATGCACCCATCACTACCTTCTAACTCTACGAGGTACACGCTCCCTATGTCGCCGCACCCGAGGCGACGCACAAAGCCTAGGTCATCAAGGCTGATCCCCGTGCCATTGAACTTCTTGCCTTGGATCGCATCCCAACATGGATCGCGTGGCCGCGCGTGAGGCTTACTGGCGGATGAGATGTGGCTTGAAGTGGTTTTGACAGAAATGGCGGTGTCGGTGTCAGTGGCGGCAGTGGTGGAACACTCGAGATTAAGGTTGCCTATGTCGTTGACAAGTTCGTCGACGCATTGTTGCATGGTTGTGGGAATGGCGGTAGTAGTAGTGGTGGGTGAGTTAAGGTGGAGACACTCTTCAAATGAGAGTAGAAAATAATAGAAATGAGGCATTTTGAAGAGGGGTGGTAAGGGCCGGCGGAATGGGGATGGGCCATGTGTCTGCCTATTGTGTTATAAGGGCCCACAGTGGGCCCAATTGCTGGATTTCCTTTCTGGCGTTTTGCATTTGCATATTTGGAATTTTGGATTTTATGCCTTGTTATTTTTCTCTGGTTATAACTGTTGCGTACGCATGTACACCTAATAAAAAATTACTAGAATTTTTAGTATTCATGTAAAAATACCAAATCCTGAGAATAAAAGAAAAAGGGTAGTCTAAGAAAAATAAATATGGTCAGACCAAAAAAAAATTAAAAAATAAATAAATATGGAAATTACTGATTTGCTATCATGCTCGTTAAAAAGGGGGCCAAAAAAACTACTGTGATATATAGCATATAAATTTAAGATCCGGTTTTTATTTTGTTCCCTTTTTATTAAGCACGATGCTCTTTTTGGGATCCCGAACTCTGCATTTAGGATTTTAGGGTTTGGGATTTGTTTAGGGATGGCACCTTTTTTGTGTGATTAGCTAGAAGATCATATGGTTGTTGTCACACCCCGAATTTTCAACAACAATTAATCTGCAAAATTAAACAGAACAACCAACGATCCGGGACGCGAAGCTCGGAACCTTCAACAAAAGTACCTAGAAATTTAAACTTTTCTTTTTTGATACAACACCACTGTTCCGAACCACAATGTCAATAATGACTCAACTCTTCTGAGTCAAATATTACATTACAAACTCACAACATAAATGAACAATCATCATTTTACATAATATGCTCCTCAGAGCTTATTTCACACAGCGGAAGTCTAACACTCACCAACATAACGAAAAGTTACGAGTGTTTATTTATCAAGGGCATTTTTTAAAAGTGAAATTAGAAACCCTAACAAACGAAACGAA